GAAGCCCCTGGAGAGACACTGCCATGGGCATAGGGGAAGAGGAGTTGGGGGGTGGGGGGCATACTGGGCTGGGTCCCAGCCCACTGAAAGAATCAGGTTTCCCATCAGCTCTTCCAATGTGGGATCAGAGGTCCAAAGAAAATTAATTCAAGTGGCCAGGTGATTTAGAAACAAAATTTTAAAAACTCCTCCAATAAGGACAAACCAGAAAAGACATGACCTCAACCTTTGGGAAAAAGATTGAGAACCAAATGGCCCTAGAGTCAATTCAGGCCCAGCAGCAGCTGGTGTTCCATAAACGTTTGTTGAGTGGACACCAGGAGAAAGCAATGCCAGCTGTACACACTGTGAGTGTGGACTTGCTTGCAAACTCTTGACTAAAGAGCCTGAGAAGGGGAAGTGGAGACAAACCACAGGTGGGTTACTCACCCAACCACACTCAATCCCACCAGAGGACACAAGCTGAAAACACAGAACTGCAAACATATGGACATGAATGCATGTCTGCAGCACATGTTGCTGGGGGAAACCAGGATGGCCTTGTTTTGAAATGTTACCAGAGAGACCAGTGGCCCCTGCCACATGGGGCCCCTGCCCAAGTCAGGATCCAGACTGACCTGAGCTCTCACACCAGTAATTTGTGTGTGTGTATGTGTGTGTGTGTGTGTGTGTGTGTGTGTAGAAGAACTGGGGTGTAGGTCAGATGTGTGGGTGGTGAGAGGTTTCACCAGAGACAGAGTGGGGAGCAGAAAGGCAGATCCACTGAAATATGCTGCTGAGGGGAACAGCGATAGGACAAGAGAGGTCTGCCATATATGGGTTAGCTCCCCGGTACTGTGCCATCCTGGCCAGGGATCAAAATCAGGCCACAGTGGTGACAGCTCTGAGACTTAACCCCTGGGCCACCAGGGAGGTCTTCACAACTATCATTTTAATTGCACCCTGAGAAGAGATGCCAGCCTTCAAGATGAGGGTGGATTGGGGCAGGTGCCTGTGGTTAAGACAAAGCATCAGCCAGTTGAGGGCAGGGAAGTGAAACTCCATAAGTGATTTTATGTTCTTGTGTGGGCTTGTCCTGTCCCTGATTCTAGAAAGCTAGTACTGCCCTCTGGGCTAGCACTTCTGCCTCCCCAAAACAGCCAGGGTTCTTCGGTGCACTGAGAACTCAGACATTTGTCAAATGATAAACAAGCAGAGAGCAGGGCAATCTATTCTGACCAAGCAGCGTAGCCCTGAAGGGGGTCCTGGAGTTACAGGCAGCGAGGAAAAGTCAAGGGGACAGTGTAGAGGCATGAACCAGCCACACAAGGAAAGAACGGAGAGACTAAAGAAGAACCTCTTCGGGGAAACCTGATCGAACACTCGAACGCCAGGAAGCCAATATGCGGCCACAAGTTGGGATTTACTTAAGGAATAACTGCCTCCTAGCTATTTAATATAAGGAAAAACAAATAAGTAGTTACTCAAGGCAGAATTTCCTTTTAGCAAAGTGCTGGTTTGGACCATCAATGCATGGCTAGCCTCCAGGGGGTTGAGTGGCCTGGGGAGAGAGGTGCAGAAATTCTGAAAGAATGCACAAGAAAATGCATTTGGGTTCATGAGAGTTAAATGGATGCTCTTGCTGAAGGATACAGCTTTCAGCTCTTCTCAAACCGATGTGGTTACAACAGTTTCTCATAGGATGTTATGAAGCCTCACACTCTCTACCTTTCAGGCTGACCTCCGGGGAAAAGATAAATCAGAGTGGTCTGATGAGAGCATCTTTGAAGGGGTGAGCATCACAGCAGCATTTGAGTGTTTTTAGGATGCAGTACAGATAAGACAGGTGCAATCTAAACAGAACACTAGACCCACAGGTCCATTCTCCCATGGACATTTATACTGAATGGTCAAGTAGCAGACAGAAAGGTCCAGTTACACTTGAAGACACAGAATATATGTCCCCTCCTACCACTTGGTGTCCAAGTGGGTGGATAATATATATATTGCAGAGAGATTCTAGAAATACTCAATGCCACTGACCAGGGAACTTAAGAAAGCATGAGTTCTTATCAGAACCCACTTAAACTCACCTTATGTAGTGTTTTCTAGAAAATATTGCCCTTATGCCATCTTTGCACTCATCTAATCACTCTGTAAATAATTGTGGGCCTTCCAAAGCTTGACATTCATGAGTAAAACCAAAAAAAGTGCTCTTTCATGCCTGCCGATTGGGAGATTCAGAAAATAAACCAACATATTATACAAATAATGATTTCATCAAAGTTTTCTGTGTATGCTACAAAGGAAATGAATGGCTCTAAACAATAATAAGTTATAGAGACCTTGCCCAGTGTGGGTTTTCAAGATGGGTTCTCTAAGAGAGCACAGATACCATGTTTTACAGACCCTCAAATGTACAGCTACCAGACTAGTCTCTATGGCACTGCTCTGCAAAACCACAGGCTGATGAGGCTGGAAAGGACACACAGATCCACCCACTGCAGCAGCCTCCTCTATAAAACACATGGTACAGATGTTCTATTTGAAATTATGATTCTGTAGATCTAAGGAGCATTGGAGAATCTGCATTTCTAACCAGGTGATTCACATGCTGCTGCTCTGCAGACAATATTTAAGGAGCACAACTCTATCAGGCATTTGAAAAGACCTAAATCCACAAAGAGCTATACCATGTTCATGGACAGAGTGGCTCAGTCATAAAGATGTCAGTTTTCCTCAAATTAACATATAGGTTTTATGTACTTCCAACCAAGATCCCCATGGAGTTGGTTAGTTCTTTACTGTAGTTGTGGTTTTGGAATTGTTCAACCAAACAAGCTGATTCTAAAATTCATGTGGAAGACAATGTTGGAAACGTGCAAAGTGAGGGGCTTGCCTTACCAGCACAAGGCTTACAGTACAATCATAGATGTGGTTTTGACACACAATTAGCCAAGGAGACTGATGGGAAGAAGGGCCCTCACACAGACCTGTGCTTTTAGGAACACTACATGTGGAAGAAGCCATTACAAATCAGAAAGGAAAGGATAAATGATTCAGGAAATAGAGCTGGAGAAATTGATTATACTTTAAAAAATTGGTTTCCTGCTTTGTACCATCTGCAAAAATAATATTCCAAGCAGATTATATTCCTAAATATGAAAATAATGAGCATTTCAAAATTTTAGAAGAAAATACAATTTTTTTTACAACTTTGAGGTAGGAAATATATCTTAAATGAGACACCAACTGTGCAAACCAAAAAAGATTGACAAACTTGACTTCATTAAAACTGAAATCCCTGTATGCAATAAAGAAACAAGATAAGTCACACTAGGAAAAGCTATTTGCAGCACAGATTCTAGTATCTAGACTGTATCAAATATTCTTACCTATCAGAGAAGATAAGCCAAAGAGAAAAGGATATGAGCAAGAAGGTCACAGCTGAAGAAACCAAAAGGGGAAAGACATGAAAAGATGCTCAACCTCATAACTGATTTGAGGAATGCAAATTTTAACTAGTGGGATATCATTTTACTCTATTATATGGGCAAACCTTAAAAACTCTGACCAGAGCAAGTGCAATCTAGAATTGAAGCAGAGGGAATTCTCCAACACTCATGCTTGGAAAGTAATTAGAATGATCCCTTTAAAAGCAATTTGACATTATCTGCTAAAATTAACGATGCATACACCCTATACCCACTGATTCCACTCTTAGGTATGTCCTAGAAACCCTCATTTATGCACATGGCGAAGCATGGGCAAGACATTCTTTCAGCGTATTTCACAATGGTGAGAAATGGGAACAGTCCAAATGCCCTACCATTGGGAGGTGGTTAAATACAATGTGATCTATTCATTCATTGAAGTACCATGCAGCAGGAAAAACTGAATCAAAGTCACATGTATCAATATGAGTATGTTTGGAAATCAATATTGAATAAAGAAACAAAATTATGAAAATTTCAGTAATGGATAACATTAATATAAAATTATTGTTTGCATTTTTAATATATAATTTTAAAACACACAAGAAAAATCTAGGTGCTATTTAGGATATATGTATTTGGGGCATAAATACATGTTCACATGTATTTGTAAACTGAGGGTAAGGTGCTTCAAGAAAACCAGACTTTTTCAGATTAAAAAGCCTCGGAAAACCTTCGACCCACAAATGAAACTGTTCTTTCCTACTGAAAACCAGGAATATTTTTACAAAGGCTCCTAAGTCAGGGCTAGAGTACATGGTTATGCAGGCTGGTACTGCACAATCCATAAGCACGTACTTCTCTTTGTAAACGATGCCCCGGGTTGTACAGAGAATAACATATACACCTGTCTATGACAGTGCTGTCATTCCTAGGTCACTGGCCTCTTTGGAAAACAATGCCCATTTCTGGGGAAATGCCCATCCAAACAATTACTGCCTATAACGTCAGTGGATTCCTCCTGACAATTAGCACCTGCACCAGCCACACACTTCCAGGGAGGAGTGCCCACACCCTTCACAAGCACTTGCAGACAAAGCCATGGGCCTGAGCTCTTTCTTAATCACATTTGAACATGCCTCTTTATAATCTCTTTCCATTAAAGTTGATCCTTTTGCTTTCTATCTGACACTCAGCTACTCAAAGAGAGCTAACCTGTTCTCCCTAGAGACTTGTGCATTCCATGCTAAATATACTCTTGACTTCACTTATTGGAAACAAGTTCTATCTTTTCTTTTATGAAAGATGAATTTTTCAACTGTCCATCATTTCTCCAGCACTTCTTACCCTCACAGACAATGAGGCAAGCTGACCTTGATCCCAGAATGGCAAAGACTTTCTCTCAGCTGCCCCTTTGGGAAACCTCTAAAGTTCTCTGCTCTGACTTCCCACATGACCAAACGCCCACAGCAGCCAGGAAGGCAGAGGTTGGAGGGAGGGTCAGCCTTCTCCAGAGGCAGGGATGTTAACTGAGCAGAACCAGGGCAGATTCCCACAAGCCCAGCGAGAAGGGTCACTTCCACTTACTCCCAAAACTCCATGACCGGGGAGGTGGCGTTCTGTAGGGCCACATGGCTGTGGTTGCTCACATTCAGTTTCTGGAACTCCACACACTTATCTACAGTGGAAATAAGACAAGAAACGCAAGAAGGTTAGGACCTCCGTGAGGGCTGGATCTTGGGAAACAGTCAAAGCCGATGGTGCAACCAGGCGGTTTTACTCAACGGCCACAAGTAAACACATCTCAAAGAGCACCGTGGGGGAATCATTAACTTAGAATGTAAGAGTGGCTGGTCTGTGGACCGGGGAAGTTGTGGGCCCGCTGCCTTCTCTCCAATATCCCCAGTCAGTTTTCTCCATCAAACTCTTTGCTCCTGCCTTGTCCCCAGACCTTCCCTTACCCCCATGCCCTGTCCATGGCATTTACCTGCTCTGCTCAGTGACCCTCCAGGAGGGGGTCCACCTTGAGGTCCCCAGGGGAAGTAAAACAGTTGAGACTTAAGTTTCCTTCATGTAAAAAGAGGCTGAAAGCACATCTGCCTCATACAGAGGTGATTATTAGGGGAGAAATGATGTCAGTCTACATGAACAAAGAATTCCTACTTTATTTCCTTACTAGATCAATCCATCCAAGAAAGGATTTGCTGGATGTCTCTTCTCATGCCATGAAACTTTATCAAGGGAGATTTGAGTCTCAAGTAAAAGACACCTAAGTGTCCATCCCTTAAGGCCCAATCAACCTATTAATTCCTCCTCCAGGAAGCCTTCCCTGGTCTCCCTGCTGTGAATTCTAAGAAAGTGAGAATGTAAAGGTCCTTCGAGGGACCACCTTCTCCAACAACCTTACTCCGAAGAGGCGGAATCTAAGGTTCAGAAATAATCAAGGGGCCACACCTGCATCCTCTCTCTCTTCTACAAGACACCAGTCACTTACAGGCAGAACTGGGAATCGCCTCAAGCCAAGACTCCCGTTCCTCTGCCGTCGTCATTGCCCAGTCCTGCCCACCACCATGGCCTCCCTCAGCACCCACCTGTGCAGAGATCCCCTGGCCACCAGACTGGGCTCCTGAGGGCTGAGCTCCTGCAACCAGTCATTTCAGCCCAGGAGGGAGCCAGTCCTCAGCCTCATTCTGCATGTGCAACCTCTGGGGGCAGGAAGGACCTCCTCTATATGATGGTTTACACATCACAAGTGTTTACAACACCTTTAGAGAAAGGGGTGCAAGCCAGTGGAAGGAAAAGGTTTGCAGTCGGCTGAGGAAACGACCCCACTACCCCAACCGTCTGCCTCTATCCCTGGCTCTCGGCAAGTGCTAATCAAATTCTGGAAGGAGATGCTCAGTGGGGTCCACAGCACTACGAGGAGATGGGAAACCTGGTGACATTGGGCTGTGTCCTGTGCCTCAGTCTGGCAGGGGTGCCCTGAGCTCTGACTGGAGTATCTAAAACAGTGTTTCTTAATTTTTTTCTTTTCTGGAATAAAAAAATTTCTCAGACACCCAGGGTTGACAAGGTGTTTTTATTAAAATTATTTGTAATCATGCATAAGCAATGAGTTATTAAGCCTTTGCCATTGTAGCACTCATAGCTATACAACCGGAATTAAAATTTCAAATTAAATACAGAAATAATCATGGGGCCCACATCTGCATCCTCTCCGTCTTCCACAAGTCACCAGTCACTTTGGGGCAGAAATGCGAATCACCTCCAGCCACGCTCGGGTTTCTCTGCGAGGCACCCAATACAATTCAAATTGATAGTGGATGGTGGATGTAATGGGTAATGTCATTTGGTGAATTAAATGGATTTCCCAAGCAAAAACATGGAACTATCAGTAGGCGGCAGGGTCTATGGAGTCAGCATGCCTATTCTTCCACAATTTTTACCTGATCATTCTTTCGCAAAACCTTCATTCCAAGAGTTTGTGGCATTCTCAAACAGACACCACTTTGGGCCAATGCACCACTCTAATTCAATCTCTCTGCTCTCTCCCCTGGACTACCAGCATCCTTTATCCCAGGACTGCATCTTCAACTGTAGACACATACAAAATCAGGCACTGAAACATCCCAACTGTCCTCAGTTGGAAGGTGGTTGCACAGACAACCTAGAACATGTGCATATTTTTAGAGTATCCTCAAAATAAATACACAATTAAATTATCATGGGGGAGGAAGAGAACTCAGAAGCCTCCCAAGAATCTGTACTTGAATTTTAGTTTGATAGATGTCTCTATGAGGAGCCTGGTCAAAGAAGATTAAGAAACAAGATCTGAAAGAGCAACAATGAGATCTCCGAAAAAAGTGAAGATGAGGGGGCAAGACAAAGTCCCACAGAGTAGGAGCTGGGTTCTAGGTTAGTGACTGCCAGTGACTAGCATCTCACAAACTCGCAACTAGTATCTCAGTCTTCAGAATGACAGGCCATTTCCAAGACAACCTGACTACAGGTTATAACACAGAGGGCGAATAGCTTAAAGCATGCGTGCCAATTCTTGTCAGAAGGCAGTGGCTTTCTGGAGCATGCTGGAAAGGGTTCTGAGGCCAAAACTAAACTCAAAGGGAAGATTTCTATGACTGATTAGTGATGTCTGCCCAGAGAGCAGCTACTGTCAATAGGGGTTGGACATATATTTGCCTTCCCTGGGTTATAAGAGTCAACACAGATAGGATAACAAGTGGAAAAGCAAACAGTATATGAGAAACCAAAGTAATCTAAAAAGTTCTCCATTCTAAGGGGTTGGGGAAGGTTGGTGAATTCAAACATTGACCAGGATGGACAGGCAAACAATCCAAGTGGACTGGGTGGGGTCGCTGACCAACTTGAGGACAGATGCCCCATCCAGAGGCAACAGCCGCTTCTTAGCTACCATTGCTGCCAAGTAAGAATGTGGCAATGTGGGTCTGGCAAATATTTAAAATTTTCAAGAGAAGCCAGAAATTTGGATTTTCATTGAAAATCTGATCTTTTCAATCTAGGCAACCAGATACATTTTTTCAAATTTGTCTGTCATTGATCCCAAACCTAATGGGCCTTTTGGCCTCCTGTCTGCAACCCTTGATCTAATCTAACGTTTTCATTTAACCCAGGAAAATCTGACACTTGGGGAGACAGGGCCAGAATGACAGCCTGAACCCTGAGATCTCAGTCTAGTGCTTCTTCCTCATGTCCCCACTCTGCCCCCAAAGGGCTCAATCTCTTTCAAAGAAAGGATCACCTTTCTTTTCCTTGTGCCAATCCCTTGGCTAGCGACTGAAACCTCTGGCTTCAAGGCTGCCAGCCACAAAATGAACCCAGGCCAGACCTGACCCCCAGATTCAGCAAGGCCATCCCAAAAAACTGAACTCACAGCAGGAAGCCTGGATGGGTCTCCGGGACAAGAACACACCCCAACAGCAAGTCCCCAGAAGGATCAGCACAGAGACCACCCCACGGGCCATACCTGTGTTCCACTCGTGTCCACAGGTGGCCCAGGGGAGCTCGGTGGTAAAGCAGTTGCTCAGGTAGAAAATGGCCCATGCCAGGATGATGATGTAGTACACATTTAGATGGGCCTCGATCACCTGGGTGGCATAGCCGATGCCTGAAAGAACAAAGCAGTGGGCCACTTGGGTCTCTCCACCTTCCCGAGATGTCTTCTGCCACTTCCACAGCCTGATCACACCAGGCATCCATTTTCCTTCCAATGAACTCGACACTTACCTTCAAATAAAGGGCAGACTTTCCTCCAGCATGTAATGCCACCTTCACTGGTGAATTGTCCCAGAGCCGTTTCCAGGAAAAAAACAGGAATTCCACAGCAAATAAAAAAGACCACGTAGGGAATCAGGAATGCCCCTGTGAGGATGCAAAGGAAGGGACCAGGGTTAAAATCGCACCTGCCATTTCATGCTCAGCTCAAGAAATCCTACTAGGGGCCTGTGGCAGGCAAGACACCACCTTCACAGGGCTTGAGGTCACGTTCCTGCTGGGAGGACTAGCATCAGGCTTGCTCTCTCTGCCTGCTGTGACCTGAGTCTACCTCACACCCCCCAGCAGTCCCTCCTCCCTCTGTAAAATGGAGTACCTGTTCTGCTAAAGTCAGAATTGGTGCACAGCTAAGACCAGGATGTCACTGAAAGTGTGTTGTTTGCTTGGCTCTGTTATTTATATATTCCATCCTCTAGCACAGGTGAAGTCTGTTTCCTTCCTGAATAGTGCACCCTTCACATTTATTCTAGAATAATCTCAACAGGTCAGGTAACCTGCAAAAAATCTTTTTCCTAAAGAAAAGCATTCTCAAGCAGACAAGCAGTGGGCAACACAGGACTCAACGTGAGGCCCCGTTATGGAACTGAGTTCTAAGGCAGTGGCCCTGGGCACCTACATATCCGGAATGGCTGGCTTTGAATCGGTCAGAGAAAAGTCCGCGGTGAGCTTTAGTGCTCCATCTCGAAACACAATACTCACAGCCTGGGCCTTTCTGTGAAACAAATTAAATAACTGAGGTGAACAGGAGCTATTCCAAGCAGAAAGAGGCTTTTCCAAATCCCTCATTCTCTGCCCATCTCATACCAAAGCGTGCAGCACATGCCGGTCCCCGCCCTCTCAGCACTGCAGGCTCTCACTGAAACTGCTTTTTTGCTAAACGAAGCTTCGTTAACCACAGGGTGAACAGCAAACTCTGTGATCCATCCTGAGAGCAGTGCCCTATTGAGCAGGTTTGGGTCTTATTTAGCTTTTCTGAGCAAGAGACTATTGCTAAAGTTTCACACCGGGAAAGCAATACTATGCTGACATCAATGAGTACAGCTGAGTAGGTATTTTTTTTTTAAGGTAAATAGTTGATAAGCAGGTACTCAATTACATTAAATGGCAAAATGCATGTGAAAGGGCATAAGAGGGTCTGTGTGCTGAACTGAAGTCTAATGGATTAAGATCAGCAGGAGCAGTTTCCCTGGTGAGTTATAATTTACCTGGGAGATCTGTGAATTCTCTTGAATTTAGCAGTCGACACTTTCTGAAATTCTCCGCCTATGTATTTGCAAAGCTAGCAATTCCTAGGATGACTGGCTCGGTTAAACCAGGTAGCAAGCCATGCACCCATGTACCCAATGGAGACCCTTGGCAAGTTGGGGGTGGGGACAAAGGACTCCTTTAAAAACTTTACTTATAGCAACTTTTTTTTTTTTAAATCTGTTGACAGAGCTTGTAATTAACCCAACTTACCCTTCTTTCTGCTTTTAGGGATGCTTTTTGTTTTGGCTTAACAATTCTCTATATTTAAAAAAAAAAAAAAAAGCTGTCAAAACAGTTTGCCAGGGACTACACTAAAGGTTTCCACAGGTTTCTAAGTGGACACGGCAACTTAAAAGGCTGAATAGTCCAGGAGAGCAGGGTTCACCACTGAGGGCACAGGGCATACTTGGAGGCTCCAAGTCCACGCCCTCTCTGGCCACCAACGCCAGCGGCCAGTTCATTACCAGTGCAGAGCGGGCTGGGAGCAGACTGTGCCTCCAGGGTGAATGTCCCTCAAGAGAGAGCCGGGGCCAAGCAGTACCCTCTCTCCTGCTGCGGCTGCTCCCACAGGAAGTCCTGCCCCACAGAGCTAACAGCCTGGCCCTGCCAGCCAACTCGTAAGCAGCATCCTTGGGGTCTGGGGATCTGCTGAAGGGGTAGGGGCACAGCAAAAGGAGGGCGCAGACACCAGCTTTCTCTTGGAGAAGCGATGCCACCAAGAAGTTTTCCCAAGGTCCCTTCCATAGACCCGCCAGCTGTCCTGACACAGGACAGGCAGGGTGCCTGAAGTTTGGGGCTCCTTCCCTGAGCTGGGAGATGAGAGGCTTCACTGCTGTGTCCCTACAAATGGACATGGACACACTGTGCTAGAAACGGCTCTCTCGTGGCCTTCCTTTCCCGTCCCCTCCCTTCACCATCTCTAAGCATCTCCAGTAAAAGTAATCACTTGGTGCCAGTTCTTCCACTGGAGAGGCCCAAATACTAGCCCCACAAAGGGCCGGGGAGCCAATGCCAGACGGGGCAGGAAAGCAAACAGCAATGCCTCCTCAGCTCAAAGCGCTCTCCGCCTGGCCCCAGCCGATGAAAACAGGCCTCGGCTGTCAGAGCGCGCGCCATCACTTCCGAAGTGAGTGACTTCCCTGAGCCTTAACTTCTCAGGTGCCAAACCACTGCCTCCAAAGGTGGCTGAGAATGAAATGCCGTCATGTGGGTCAAGTTTGGGCTCAGGCGCTCAAAAACCCGGCCTCCTTTCACGACCAGACTTCGAACCCAGGCGGGTTTCTAGTGAGGGACACTGAGGCGCTGCCTCCAGCCCCAACGGCAGCAGGGGTGCCAACAGCCAGGGGTCCGCCCTGCAGGCGGGCAGGGGGCTCCTCACCTCCCAGGGCTCGAGCGCTCGCAGGTGGCAGGGCAGGTGCGAAGAGGCGCGTGCGCGCTGGCGCTGCCAGGTGGCCCTGGGGGCGCCCCGCGTCCCGCCCCTCGCGCGCCCCCGCCCCCACGCGGCGGGGTGCTGGCTCCCCGCGCCGCCGGCCCTCACCTCCTCCGTTCTTGTAGCACAGGTAGGGGAAGCGCCACACGTTGCCCAGCCCGATGATCTCCCCCGCCACGCTCAGCACGAACTCCACCTTGTTGTTCCAGTGGCCGCGCTCGTGGACCGCCTTGTCGCGCTTGTCGCGCGGGTCGCGCGCGCCCCCCGCGCCCCCGCCGCCGTCGCCCCGCGCCTCGGACTCCCGCGACTCCTCGGCCGCCTTCCCGTTGCCCAGAGGCAGCGCCTTCTCCGCCGTCATGGCCGCGCTGGCTGCCTCGTGCGCCCGCCGGCTCTGCGCCGCCGCCCCGGGCGGGCCGGCTTTTCAGGAGGCGCGCGCGGGCGGGCGGGCGGGGCGGCAGGGGGTGGAGCCGAGGGCCGGGCCGGCGCGGGGCCGGGGCCCGGACGGGACCTCGAGACGCCCACGCCGCCAGCCGGCCCGGCCCGGAGCCCGCGGGCACCCCGCGCGCGCCCTTCCTCGGGTGCCCGCCCAGCGGCCCCTTGGAACCAGGGTGGACGCGCCGGCTCCCGCTAGGCCGGGCTCCCAAGCCAAGCCCTGTGTTTCCATCACCCCAACCTGCACCCGGGGCGCGGGCCTGGGTTTCCCAACTCTTGAATGAGAGGGGTGGGCTCTAGGCCAGTTCTCCCCAGCCTTCACTGCACCCCAGCACCTCAGGGTCTGGTTAAGCTGCGGGCCCTGATGTAGTAGGTCCCGCTGGCTGGGAGCGTTTTCCTGGCTAACGGGTGCCACGTGATGCTGATGTTGCTAGGCCAGGGGTGGGCTTGGAGAAAGGAAGTAAATGACTCTTGGTTTCTTCCCAGTGCTCCAGTCAGAGACTGTAGCTCCCTAGGGTGGGGACACCAGCAGGTCTCGTTCATCCTGGCGCCCCTCCTTTAAACAGTGACTCGGGACCCTGTGGCAGTGAGGCGCCCCTGTCTGGAAGCTCCATTCTAAATAGATTCTCATGGTCCACCTATCTTAGTTGGGTGAAGTCCTCTGACCTGCCCTCCGTGCCTCAGTTTTCTGATCTGCAAAAGGGAATGCCAGGGGTGACTTTCTTAGAGGTCTTGTGTTTTGTGTGCCGTCAATGGGAAACCGCTGCAAGCCCTCAGTGTATTGGATGCACTCAGTGAACATTAGTAAGGATTAGTATTATATTATGCAGCCAGACCCGCATGTACTCAATGCATTTTCTTGTTTAATATCTGTCTCCCCACTCAATTGTTAGGGGTGCTGTGCACTGTCCTGTCATTATCATAGTCACAGAGCCAAGCACAGCATCTAGCATACAGTAGGTGCTCAGTAAATAGTTCCAGAAATACAAAAGGGAGAAGAAGAAAGTATTCAAACTTCAGGGCCACAGACCTAATCAGATCCACGCCTGTCATTTCAGTCCTGGAGAAGTCCTGCCCCCTGAGCTCTTACTGAGGTTACCTGCTGTGTCTCCATCCACCCTGGGAGCTCCCCTCCAGGGCTCCCACAGGGAGAGCCTCCCTGTCCTGTGGGCTTCAGCTTCTCCTGTTATTGTAGCTCACAACTGCTCAGGTCTCTCGGCACCTCCATCCCCTTGCTGCCACCATCTTCCCTTTGCAAGCCTCCTACCTCCCCTCCCCCTCACTATCATATTTCTTGAAAGAGTAAGTTTACATGCTGCTGGCCCTGCTTCACCTCCCACTCATTTCTCAGCCTACAGCAATCTGGCTTGCACCCCGCCATTCCTCTGAAAACGCTGTCTGCGAAGTCTCAGAAGATTTCTCTGGCAGACCTGCCAGCTCTCCATCCACGCCAATCCTGCCACACACCTGGGTAACTTCCTGCACCCTTACTTCCTTCTTCCCTTTTTAAAAAACTGTATTGAAAAAACACCAGTTTATAACATTATGTGTCAGGTGGATAGCCTTCTAAGTCGACACCTGTATCTACTGCATGATGAACATCACCGAGAGGTTCTGTCCTCCAGCCTACAACTGACCCCCTTTTCCCGATTTTTCTCTCCCCCCTCCTCTTTCTTTCCATTAATTGCTATTTTGTTCTTACAGTCTAAGCATTTGTTTAGGTTTTGTGTGTTTGTTTTACTTCTTTATCTTGCACATAGGAATGAAATCATCTGGCATTTTCTCCAGCTAAGAGCATACAATGGAGAAGGAAAATTATCTTCAATAAATTGTGCTGGGGAAACTGGACAGCCACACAGGAGGACAGAAACTGGACCACTAGCTAACGCCGTTCACAAGAATGACTTCCCAATGGGTTAAACCTTCCAGTCTTCAGGTGCACTCCTGTGTGGCTCCCCCGCCCCTGCTTCTCTGGTCTCCTTTCTCACCCCTTAAATCTGGTCTTTCGTGTGCCATTAGCCGCTCAGCTCAATCCCTGCATGCTGCCCAGAGTATGTTTCAAGTATGTGGGGTGTTTAGGATGGACATGAACTGAATTCGGGGAGATGTGGCTTCAGACCCATGCTCTGCCATTTAGGGGGTGTGTTAACTCTTGCCTCGGGCTGCCCCTCTGTCAAGGGAATTACTAGTTCTCTCTCCTGGGCTGGGTGTGAGCGCCACAGGCCTTGACTGCCACAAGTGCTTATTATTTTTATCATGATGGTGATGCCATTCCCTGGCTTAAAAGCCTTCAATAGCCCTTGTCTTAAAGGATAAATCAAATTGCTGGCCCTAGAATTCAAAGTTACCCCACAATGTGATTGTCCCAGCCCTGCCTTCTGAAGTATTTCTCCCACACTGAGCCTACAGCAGTACTTTCATTTTCTTTGGGGTGATCCTTGGTGCTGACTATAGACTGAGCAGTAAAGGGAGGAATTCTTCTGTGACCGTGATGGTCCTTGCACACAGGAGGCACGTTTGTGAAATAAGTAATTATGTCAAAACAGAGGAACATTCCCGAATCTCAGCATTGCACTATTAAGTTATCGCTCCAGCTTAACCTGGGTAAACCTGCTTCAAATCTAATCACATTTCCCTTTGTACTGCTGCCCAACCTTATTATCTACAGGAATTCACTGCTTCTGTGTAGCTTTGATTCTACAAGCCTGCTTGAAGTAACAGTGAAGCAGCACTGGAAGGCCTGGGGCCAGTCCTGTCCATGGGTAGTGCTGTGGCCTTGGGTGCTCCCTTCAACTCTGAGCTTTGGTGCCACCCACTCGCAAAGACAAGATTATCCTCATCTCCAAGGTGGTCTTAAAGGTAAAGCAGGCCCACGTGTAGTAAAGGACACTGTACAAATACTAATGTGTCAAACTCACCTCTTGGATGTTCTTGTCTTCCAGCTGGCCTGGTCGTTCCCTATTAGAATGTAGCAAATAAATATTTAAAGCCCACCCCTGTGGTTACTTCATGGCTCTTGAAACGCCTTAGCCTTTTTGCTCTGTCCTCATGCAGAGGAGTCCACATCTCCATCATTTCAGAGCCTCACCTCTGGAACTTTTCCATCTCATCATTTCCTTTTGGGGTATGGTGAGCTGAACCGCACACAGCCAGGTCCACCAGGAGAATGACCTCAGCTGGGCCAGTTTTGAGGATCCTGTGCGGACCCTCAAATAACACAGCTCTGCAGCCACCCACCCTGGGCTCCAGTCTCCACTTCCACAAAGGCTGCCGGCTCAGGTCCCGCATCTGTACTGTGAGGGTCCTCGCGGATTTACCTTATAATCGCCACGAGGGTTGAGTGGGTGGGCATCTGTAAAGCCCTTGGATCCGAGCCGGCAGAGGTGACAAAATCATCTTCAGAGAACAAAATGTTAGGGCTCGGGGCCCATTCCCTTCTGGGGGGAATCATTCATTCATCTTCTGGAAACAGCACTTGCTGTCCTGGGGGCTCATTTAAACTTCAACACTGACTCACCAAATACCCCGGCTCTTCAGTTTCCATCCGGACGCCATCCTGACCCTGGGGGTAGAGCCGGCACAGCACCCCACTGCTCGAACGGCGACGGGCCACGCAGCGGCCTCGAGGGCCCTTGGCCGCCCCGCGCTGGGCAGGACAAGGCGGAAGCGGCCTCCGCTTTTACGACAGGCCGCAAAGCCGGCGCGCCCGGGTGGGCTTTACGGCAGCCCCCGAGGCGCGCCCCCTGCTCCCCCGGGACGCCCCGCCGCGCCCAGGCCCGCGCTGGACGGTCCGAGCGGCTGAGCTCCCCCTCGGCCTATTTCGTGAGCTGCCGGCCGGAGGGCCCCGAGGAGTCGGGACCGCCCAGAGCGCGTCCCGCCCGGCCTGAACCCGCGGGGCGGCCGAGCCCGCGGCTGGCGTGACGCGGCGGGGCCTGGGCCGCCTCCGGCGAGGGGGTCATGGCGGCCCCCGCCCGACTCGCGGACGCTGGGCTGGAGGCGGGTTTGGTGCCTCCAGGGCGGTTCGCCGGGAAACGCGTGGGGCCGAGACCGCGGCCCTCAGAGCAGCCGCCCCACTCGGCGACGCTCGGCCTCCGGCACAGCGCGGACAGGCACGGAGTGAGGGTGGCCACGGCGAGCTGCTGCCCTGCTGGCCCCGGTGAGGAGGGCTTCGCTGAGGCCTGCTTGCGCCCTCTCACGCCGGCTCTGGACCTCCCGCACCCCCCCGAGGCCAGCCCCCCGGGCCTCAGCCTGGTGCAGCACCCCCACCCAGCCACCGGACCTCAGCCACCCGCAGCAGCACCCCCACCCAGCCACTGGGCCTCAGCCATCCGCAGCAGCACCCCCACCCAGCCACCGGGCCTCAGCCACCCGCAGCAGCACCCCCACCCAGCCACCGGGCCTCAGCCACCCGCAGCAGCACCCCCACCCAGCCACCGGGCCTCAGCCACCCGCAGCAGCACCCCCAACCAGCCACCGGGCCTCAGCCATCCGCAGCAGCACCCCCAACCAGCCACCGGGCCTCAGCCATCCACAGCAGCACCCCCAACCAGCCACCGGGCCTCAGCCACCCACAGCAGCACCCCCACCCAGCCACCGGGCCTCAGCCACCCGCAGCAGCACCCCCACCCAGCCACCGGGCCTCAGCCATCCGCAGCAGCACCCCCAACCAGCCACCGGGCCTCAGCCACCCGCAGCAGCACCCCCACCCAGCCATCGCCTATTACTGTCTTCTTGGCCCTGGTAAGTGAAACCACCTGCCCACCGTTATTTCTGTTTTATACGGGACCTGTGTGTATCCCATAATTCCTGCCTTTACTCGATGGCAATGTTATTGAGGGTCATGGTCTTTGGCATGGTTTGGGAGGCTATTTTGGGGGGTCTGGGAAGTCTCAAGCGTTTTCCGTGTCCATTGAAGGTAGCTGCTGCTGCAGCTCAGGGCAGCTCTCTCAAGGTGGCGCACTCTGTCTCTCTGGGCTGTGGGGAGC